TCAGAAGCGCGGGAGGGTGAGAAAATTCACCAGAGCCAGAGCGGGGAGCAGAGCAGGCAGAAGGACCGAAGTACACTGCTGAGGGGAGCAGCGGGCGGCAGGAGAGGTCTCTGCGCCATGTGGGACCCTCCTCTGGTGGCCGGGGAGCAGCCGGGGATCGAATCGGCGCTGCAGAGGCCGCAGGCAGCTTCGCAAACCAGCACTCAACCGCTGCGCCACCGGGGAGGCCCTATTTTCTGCCCATTTTTAAAACTCTTTTAAAAATGTCTTCATATTTGTTTTGATCTCACATTTCTTTAGATCTTGGGTTTAAATATCCTAACCTGTTGGTTGCTACTTGGCAATTATTTTCTTCATTCCTTGAGCTAGATACTCACTTTCTCAGGAAGGGATAACTAACAGTTACAGAGATATCTCCATAAAAGGGGGAGGTACCATGTTGCCTGCCGGATTTAAGGATGAGAGCAACTGCAAGGCCAGGTGACGCTATTACTGTATCACATGGAAGGAAGGTAGGCTCCAGGAAGAAGGAAGAGGAGAAGAGAGCTCTTGTTACTGTGGCCCAACTTGCACCCTGGTACTGTTAGCTGGCAGGGTGAGGGGCAGCCCAGGACCCCCAAACCTGCCTGCTCTGAACAGGTTCTGCCATCTGCCGCATCAATACAAAACATACTCTGGTCCTTAAGACCGTCAATAGAAAAATAACTTTAATACAATTATTGTGTGATAAAACAGAAAAAAATATACTTTAAAATAGTTTCCAATTAAATACCCAAAGTTACTCATCCCAGGGCTGGGAACTCATAGGAAAGGGGCAGAAGGGGCCAGGCAAGTCTGGAAGGAAAAGAACAAAATCAAAATACAAGTGAAGATAAAGGCTGCCATTGTCAGCCTCTCCATGAGTCTCTCACCACATCTGTCTCTTTCAAGGGTTTCCTTCTATGTTCCCCAAGTCCCTGGTACTAGTCTAAAACCAAGAAGCAAACAGAGCATCTTCACATGTCTCTCTGCTCCATGTGCCTCCTCCAGGTCTCCTTCCTAGTCTTCTCTTTTTCTTTCTCTCCTTTTTTTCCCCCAGTCTTTCTTCTAATCTTCTCTAGCTTCACCTTCCTGCTCAGCTCCACCCTTATTTAGGAAGGGGCCTGGTACCCAGAACCTCCCCTTTCCTTGGGGATTACCCTGTTACAGTACTACTGGGAAGGAGCCATGTGGAGGAGAGACATGTAGACACACATGAAAGAGGCACTTGGATTACAGAAAATGGGGAGGCTGACAATGGCAGCTGTTATTTTCATGTGTTATCTCCGTTTGTCCCAGATTTCTGGGACCTACTTCAGACCCTCCTTTCCTTTGATTCCCTACTAGAAGGTGCCTTGGACTTGTGGCAAGCTTTCAATCTTCAGTGGCCCCACCCCATTTGGCTGGGCATTTGCCTGAGGGAATGGGTAATTTGGGGCATTTTATTAAGAATATCCTTTTTTCTCCTTTTCTCTATGCACATGAATTCTATTAAAGGTCTTTTACTAAATAGGTCTGCTTTGCCTTTGTGTGAACTGATGGCTGGTCCTCTTTAGAGTGTGTAAGTTTGGGTGCCCTCGGGTGCCCCTTGGTCACACACTAACATTTAGCCTAGATATTAACTTTCTGAGAAAGGAATAACCAGATGAGCCAATGACCCAGGGAGAGGTAGGAGGTTATTAGGGCTTTCTGAGAGACTCTCTCTTTTCCCAAGAGAGTGTTTTCACTCAGGGGAAAAGGGACTTCCCCCCCATTTGACTTCTTCCTGTTTTAATTATTGTTGTGTGAGACTGTATTCCTTGGATGATGGGAGGCATGTTGTTATAGGAAGATGACAAGCACAGAAAGAAAAATCCACAGGCAGCAGAGGGCAGAATGGAAAGATGGAAAGACGGTTCCTCAGAACACTGTTAGGTGGTGTCATAAGACTGAAAGACAGCAAAGTTAGCAGGTGCGGGGGTATATCATGGTGTGTGGGTTCTCCCACATGCACTCACAATTGTGCATAATAGACATGGTTAGACATAATAGACTATTAGACATAACAGACTCACAATAGACATGGTTCAGTCTTGGAGTGCAAGAAAAACAGGGTTTATTTACAAAGGGGAAATTGGGATAAGGAGAAAGAGTTCCTAAGGCTACAAGTGGCTGGCTGTCCTAGCCCAGATAGTTCCCACAGTTTCTGTTCATGCAAGGCAGTGTTGTCCCTCTGATGAAAGCTGAAAACTGGTGGCACGCTGGTAAGCAGGGACCAGGATTCAGCTAACCTGTGGCAGCCAGGGTAGTCACAGGTGGCGCTGCTGAGGTCCCCACCACAACAGCATCATTTCTGAAATCAAGGCCTATCTCCCGAAGCTGAAGTCAAATGTCCTAGAGTCTCCTAAATCTCAGCTATATCCCTCTTCAGTGTACCTGGCTATTAAACCTGATTGACCCATTTTCTAAACCAGTTGTTTCCATGAACTAATTGGGGGGGGCGCAAGCTTGAACCTAACTGGTAACACTGGGACCTTGGATAGTTCGATCTGTTTTCAAAACCTGTTCAGGATTCAAAACCAAAATCTCAGCAGCACATGCAATCTGCCCTGCACCATGTCATATAGGAGCTGGGCAGGTAAACTGCAGTATCTTGTATCTGAATGGTACTGGCCAGGTTCAAACCCGACTTCTTCATCTTCAAGACTACCATGTTTTCTCTTTTTCTTTTCCTTTAAACCCAAATCTGGCAGCACTGGGGTCAGCCATCACAGCCGGGTGCTATTGTTTAGCCCATGCTGATGACCCTCAGCTAGAGGCCCCAAGCACCTTCAGAGAATCTGGAGCCATGAGAACTGATTTTACAAGACCCAGAGCAGCCCTACTCCAGACTTCTCATCATATGACATTAAAATAGACTAAATTGTTTAAGTGGCGAGCCTGGCAGGAAGCTGTTTCACATTTATTTTAACAACCCAGGGAGGAAACTGCATTTGTTCTAACAGCCTGAGCAGTTATTAGCTCTTTTGCTTTGAAGCTGCTGCTGGCATAAGAGGGAGTTATTCTGTGTCCAGCTTCAAACAAATGGACTGTATACCATTTTGTTTTAACAACCATGCTATGCCCCGCCAGATTAACAAATGGTTACATTTTGATATACAGTGCCCCAGCCAGGCACAAAATCTTGACCATCTTGACAAAAGTCTTGGCTTTATTACTAATTGTCCCCATACCATGAAAGGAGGGAGTGGCCATGGCCCACACGCAGTTAGTAAGAGCCCTGATGGGGAATGAGGGGGCTGGTGTTCTCATTAGCATGCTAGGAGACCTGAAATGACTTGCACTTTAGGATAGTCCAGCTCAATACATCTTATGAATTAGCCCCCATCTACTCAGCCTTGACAGGCAGACCCCTTAAATGCCCTCTTAGAACTCCCCTTGGAGCACCATCTCGAAAACCTTTTTTCTCTCCTTTCCAACGCAGATCTCCCTTGCGTTTTAGCGTAAGTTCAATACATCTTATCTGGATGCCATCTGCCGTGGCTTTTTGTTAAAAGTCTTTTACAAGGAGTCAGAACCTGCAAAAGAGACCTGAAGTCTCTAATGACATCATGACATTAATTTCTACATACATCACTGTTAGTGTTACAGGGCAACCCCGATATAAAACGGGTTGCCTGGCTGTGGGTCCTCACCCTTAGTGGCTAGTCTGTTCCTTGCTTTAAGAACACAGCCCCACAACGGCACTGGTCTCTGAAGCCTCGCTCCTAAACAAAGTCCACGGTAATAACGGCGTGCCTGCGACAGTCCCGTACGAGCGCAGGGTCCGGAAAAGGGGTATGTATGCTGGCTGCGAAGGAGGCATGAGCGGCTGAATTCAGGCAGTGCAGATACTGCAGGGCCCTCATTCTGTCTAAAATGGGCGCCTCGGATTTGCCCCCTCCAAGTACAGCCTCTCAGTCCCTCCCACAGAGCCCTGTGCCGGAGCCGCAGGGCGCAGGGCAGAGCCCGCAGAGGAGGGGGGCAGCGCAGCGGTGGGCGGGCGCTGGGCTGGTCCAGACACCCCGCAGCTCCCGAGGGAGGCTCGCTGCTGCGCCCCTTCTTCGAGCAGACCTAACCCCTCCCCGCACCTCATCTGCAAGGAGACCTGACCCCGGGCGCCTCAAATCCCCGGCCCCGCCCCCGCCAGGCCGCGCGTCAGCTGCTTCCTGGCGAGTCGGGGGAAGCACGGCCTTCGCGGATCTTAGGAATTTAGTCCAGCTATTTGCGCGTCCGCAAATTTATTTCGGAGGACTTTATAAAAGAAGGACTCGCGCAGCGAAAGGAAGGCAGTTCATCACTTTACGTAAACCCTCTGTGGCCACACAACTCACAAGGTTCCCTTCGCTAGACTTCTGCAACAAACCCGCAGCGCTCGGCAGGGACCGGAGCAGGACCCGCGCCCCGCCGGCCCGCCGCGCCTTCCGCGCGCCCCACGGCCTCGCGCGGATCACCCCAGCGCTCGCCGCCCGGCCCGCCCCGCGCGCGCCCCTGACGCGTCACACGCTCTGACGCCCGCCCCCTCGACGCGAACGCGAGCGCGTCAGCAGCGCGCAAGCGCACAACGATCCCCGCGCTTTTCGGAGGCCTCAGGTCCGCCGTGGGGCGAGCCGGCATTGTGACGCCGCTGACCGTCGGAGCCAGGTGGCTGGAGGCCGGGGTGGGCGGCCAGGGTGATGTGGGGCGCGGAGGGGCGAGCCTGGTCCTGTAGAGCCGCGCCGGGTAGCCTGCCGGAGGCGCTTCTCGGGCTTGTTGGGGGCGGCCAGTCTCCCGGGAATTTCGAGTTTAGGTGCCTTTTCCTTCGGGGGCGGGGCGGGGGCGTCCCGCGGAGCGGGCGGAGGTGCAGGCGCCGCCCGGGCAGCTGGGCCCGCATGAGCACCCCGGTTCTCAGCCCCTGTCCGCCTGGGACCAACCTCAGGGTAGCCCACCTCCACCCCATCAAAAGGAAGGTATGTTAAGGAGGGGTTGTGAGGAATGGTAGCGAGTGTTTACGAACACTGACGGCTGCTGAGTGAGGTTTGTGTGCTCCTGAGATTAAGGAATCGGCCAGCATTAGTGGAATCAGAATCCAAATCTTGTGCAGGTCTGCCCCTGAGGAGTAGGAAAGGCATCCGGCAGGGGCTTTTATAATTTTTAATCCAATGGATACCTTAATATAAATGGGAGAGGATAATGTATTAGGGAACTCTTCCTGCGTGTGGAAGCCAACCATCTAGTTAGGAAGACAAATACCACATTATGAAAGTAAGAAACTAACAAAATAAAGAAGACTGAAATGCAATTTATATGTCAGTGCTAACTATCCATAATTTTTTAGATCTCGGAAGGTCCATAAAGGTGTACAGTGATTTGAAAAAGGTAACTCCGAAAATTTCTGTTGTTGATCAATGCTGGTTAAACAGTTATTTGGCTTTTATATCTGTATTTGTTTGCTCAAGAATTGAGTTGCAAGAATTGAGACTTGGGAGGTGAATACTGAAGAAAATGCAGATGGGAAGGAGAGGGGAGGACCAGTAACTGAAACACTGAGCTTGGAGGAATCCAAGGTGGGAAATAAAGAGAGATGGAGCCATAGAAAGCAAAAGAATGTTCCTAGTGATGTGAAAGTATGTAACCCAAGTATTCCAAGTCACCTCTCTTTCAATTTCTTGTTTCCAGTATTAAGAGATTAAAATGAATTAAAATGGTATAGTGGAAATCGTACTCTCAGGAGTTGTCGGTGAAAGTTTTTTTTTTTAATTTTATATATTTTTTACGTAATTTTTCATTTTTGCACAATGTATGCATTTTCATCTTGGTTATAGTCCCCATACAATTCCCACCCCCCTTATTTTGACCGTAATCCCTCCTACTCACCCCCCCCTCCGTGTCTCTGGTTTATAGTTGCTTGTTGATTTTGATATTTTGATTTTTACCTTATTATAATTAGTCTCTTTTTCCTGATCCCTTATTTAGGTTTTCTAAATTCCTGCTATGAGTGAGACCATCGGTATTTTTCTTTTTCTTTCTGGCTTATTTCGCTGAGCATGATCCATTGACTATAGCTTTAAGCAGATTAGAATCTTGCTGGATCTTAAGTTCCTCTCCTACTCCCCATCCCCAACAAATACCTACTTACCTGTACAGATTAGTTAGTTGTAAGGCGTTTTTCGGTGGAAGATGAAAAGCTGTAGTGTTTTTTTATGTAACTTAGGAATTTCTTTTTTAGTAGCTGTAGTACTGGTTTATAATTCTTACAATTTCAGAAGTACAGCTTCATACCATACCATGCCCACCATTAAAGATCTAATTGCCATGACCACTATGTAATCAAACCTTCATACACATACCACTTATGTCCTCCACCCCCTTCTTCTCTGGTAACAACCATTCTGTTGTTTGTTTTTATCATGTTTTGTTTCCACAAATGAGTAAAATCATACAATATCTAACTTTTCCTTTCGATTTAACATAATCATCTCAAGGCCCATCCAGGTTGCAAATGGCAGGATTGCCTCTTAGTTTTTTCTTTATAGCTGAGTAGTATTCTTTTGTGTTTATATACCACATCTTAATCCAGTCATCTGTGGATGAACACTTATTTCCACATCCTGGCTATCGTGAACAGTGCTGCAATGAATATAAGCTTGCATATATATTATTTAATTAGAATTTTCATATTCTTCAGATAAATAACCAGCAGTGGAATTGCTGGATCACATGAGTTCTATTTTTTATTTTTTGAGAGACCTTCACACTGTTTTCCATAGTGGCTGTACCAGTTTACTTTCCCATCAACAGTGTATATGAGGATTCCTTTGTCTATACAACTTTGCCAACACTCTTTTCTTGTCTTTTTGATAATGGCTATTCTCACAGGAATGTCATGATAATCTATTGTGGTTTTAATTTGCATTTCATTTCCCTTTTAAAAAGTGATGGTGAGCATTTTTTTCATGTGCCTGTGTGGGCATCTGTATATATTCTTTGAAAAAGTGTCTATTCATTTCTTCCCCTATTTTTTGATTGGGTTGTTTTTGTTTTTGAGTTGTATTTGTCCCCTACATATTTTGGATATTAACCTCTTGTCACATGATGTGCATATATCTTCTCCTACTTAGTAGATTGCCTTTTTGTTTTTGTGGTAGTTTCTTTTTCTGTACCACAGATGTGGTCCTGTTCCCTGGATGTTGGAGTTAATCCAGTATCATAGACATACATGTCTATGTCTTTGACATATGTAAAAGACATGTAAGACTGATGTCAAGGATCATAGCACCTGTGTTTTCATAGTATTTTGTAGTCAAACATTCAGGTCATTAATCTGTTTGAATTGTTTTGTCTCTGGTGTAAAGTAGTGGTCTAGTTTTATTCTTTTGCACGTACCTGTCCAGTTTTTCCAGTGGCATTTGTCGAGAGACTTTCTTTTCTCTATTGTTTGCTTTTGATCCCTTTGTTGTAAATTCACTGTCCATGTAAATGTGTGTTTATTTTTGGGCTTTCAGTTCTGTTTCATTGATCTGTATGTCTGTTTTTTTATTCCAGTACCATGCCGTAAAGTTGTATCACGTGATTCTTGCATTAAAGAATCTATTATGGGTTATTAAGTTACATTTACATGTAGTTTGAAGGTAAATTTTAAAATACACAAATTCTTAGTTTTTACTTTATTGCAGTACTCTTCTAAAAGTGTTTTCTTGTGGGTTGGTAGGTAAATTATATACATCTAGCAGCAAAATACTTTATAATTCTGTTAGAATATTAACAAAATTATAAAAATTTTAATGTAAGGGGACTTATAACAATAACTGATGAAGTCTAAAATAAAAGTGCTCTACTAGAAGACTATTCATGTTTTCATATTTCATTTATCATAAAATATCTCATTTTCATTTATTGAGGACCTCTTGTTAGACTGCCCTTAAAAACATGCAGTATTTGACGTCTTCATATTTGTGCTCCATGCTGCCATACTCTGTGGCAGTAGCATCAAGGAGCATTTTGTACACAGTGAAGTGCTCAGCACTGAGTGAAATTGCTTGTGTGTGAAGTCTAGTGTGTGAATGCTTAAGTCATTCACCTATTTTTTTAGACACCAGATTTAAACACCAGGCTTGGTGTATTTCATTTTGTTTGTAGTTCTGTGGCTCTTCCATATTACTTTTCTTCTGCTGATTATTTTTAAATCCTTCCCATTTAAATTTTATGAATGTTTTCTCTGTTTACAGGGAAAATTTTTATATAATTAAACTAGATTAACTCAGAAAAGCATGAAGTTGCATCTTTAATCTTTTATATCTTCCATACTTGAAATCTATGGTTAAATAGATAGTCCCTTACAAATTTCCCTTACAAATAAAAAGTTCAATATATTCTCATTCAGATGAGCAGAGATTTAAAAGTTTTGTTTAAAGTATTATACCTTTGTTAATACTGATTCTTTTTCATTTTTATTGTTGTAGAACTTCAAAAATGCAGACCTTTGGCTCTCGGTCTGTGCATCTCAGTGAGTGGCAGAAGAATTACTTTGCAATTACATCTGGCATGTGTACATCAGGACAGAAGGCAGATGCCTACCGTGCACAGATCCTACGAATTCAGTATGCATGGACAAACTCTGAGATTTCCCAGGCTTGTGCTACCAGACTCTTCAAGAAATATGCAGAGAAATATTCTGCAGTTATTGATTCTGACAATGTTGAAACTGGTCTGAATAACTATGCAGAAAACATTTTAGCTTTAGCAAGATCTCAGCAAGCTGACAGTGACAAGTGGCAGTCTGGATTGTCAATAAATAATGTTTTCAAGATGAGGAATGTGCAGGAGATGATGCAAACTGGCAAAAAAGTCAAAGACACTCTTTTGGCACCTTCTGATGCCTCAGTAGTGATTCATAAAGATGCTGTTGTCTTCGATCTTCCTAAATTTGGTGTTTGTAGTGGTTCTGGGGAGAGTGGCCCATTAAATAACTCAGCTCATGGTGCAGACAGGACCCAAAATCTCCCAGAGAAAAGCCTTTTGATTTGCCCTCAGAATGCACCTGTAGCGACTGACATTCCTAAGTTGTGTCCTGCATTCTCAGCGCCTTTTGGTGAACCAGCTGCAGCAAAATTCTATGCCACACCATTATTTGGAAATGTCAAAAAGGAAAATAATAGCTCTCCTAAAGCCAACGCAGGACTAAATATGTTCTTATCTAATCAGTCTGGTTTTTCTTCTGATTGTGGAAATCCACAGCAAAGGAAATCTTTGTATAGTTCTGGCAATAATGATGCATTTCCCACTGCACTACTGAGTAAGGCTCTTTGTAAACCAGCAGATAATGGCCAAAGGGAGGAGAACAGCTTGTCTGCTTTCAAAACTGCAAAAGAACAGTTATGGGTAGATCAGCAAAAAAAATACCACCACCCCCAGCGTACAGCAGGGTCTTCATATGGTGGTGTGAAAAAGTCTCTGGGAGCTAGTCGATCCCGAGGAATATTTGCAAAGTTTGTTCCTCCTATACTTAAGCAAGATGGGGGAGATCAGAATGGGGGAATGCAGTGTAAGCCTTATGGCACAGTACCTACAGAACCAGCACATCCAGTTGATGAGCGTCTGAAGAACTTGGAGCCAAAGATGATTGAACTTATTATGAATGAGATTATGGATCATGGACCTCCTGTAAATTGGGACGATATCGCAGGAGTAGAATTTGCCAAAGCCACTATAAAGGAAATAGTTGTGTGGCCCATGATGAGGCCAGATATCTTTACTGGTTTACGAGGTCCCCCTAAAGGAATTCTGCTCTTTGGTCCTCCTGGGACTGGTAAGACTCTGATTGGCAAGTGCATTGCTAGTCAGTCTGGGGCAACCTTCTTTAGCATCTCTGCTTCCTCCTTGACTTCTAAATGGGTAGGTGAGGGGGAAAAAATGGTCCGTGCATTGTTTGCTGTTGCAAGGTGTCATCAGCCGGCTGTAATATTTATTGATGAAATTGATTCTCTGTTATCTCAAAGGGGAGATGGTGAGCATGAGTCTTCTAGAAGGATAAAAACCGAATTTTTAATTCAGTTAGATGGAGCTACCACATCTTCTGAAGATCGTATTCTGGTAGTGGGAGCAACCAATCGGCCACAAGAAATTGATGAGGCTGCCAGGAGAAGGTTGGTGAAAAGGCTTTATATTCCCCTCCCAGAAGCTTCAGCCAGAAAGCAGATAGTAATTAATCTGATGTCCAAGGAGCAGTGTTGCCTCGGGGAAGAGGAGATTGAGCTGGTTGTACAGCAGTCTGATGGGTTCTCAGGAGCTGACATGACGCAGTTGTGTAGAGAAGCTTCTCTTGGTCCCATTCGCAGTTTACAAACTGCTGACATTGCCACTATAATGCCAGATCAAGTTCGACCAATAACTTACATTGACTTTGAAAATGCTTTTAGAACTGTGCGACCTAGTGTGTCTTTAAAAGATTTAGAGCTTTATGAAAATTGGAACAAAACTTTTGGTTGTGGAAAGTAAATAGGACACTTGAAACTAAAAGATGGTATTTTTGTAGTACAATCTTTTCCACTTTGTAGCATAGGAACTTATTAATTGTACTTTGTATATTCTCAATTCTGTACCTCAAATAAAATAGAATAATAAGCTCAAATTTTACAATTAACTTAGCCTCTGTTACTTAAGCTTGATTTTTCTTCCATTATTAACTGATTTGTAGGCTTATTCATATAAAATGTGAATGAGCTTTTGTTGTTTCTAGGTCTTCACGATGTGTAACTTGGTGAATGGTGAGTTCAAGTTGAAATTTAAAAATCTCATTTGTGCCTGAGCCTGTATCTGACTTATATACATTTTTTTTTTTTTTTTTAAGATTTATTTACACAAGAACTGGGGCACAGACCAGAGGCAGGGGAGGGTGAGAGAATTCACCAGAGACAGAGTGGGGAACAGAACAGGCAGACTGACTGAAATACACTGATGAGGGGAGCAGCGGGCCATATGGGTTTCTCCCTGGCCGGCTGGGAAGTAAACCCGTGCTTTAGAGGCTACGGACAGCTTTACAGCGCTGTGCTCAACCCGCTGCGCCACTGGGGAGGCCCTTAGATACATTTTTTAGTGAAGAAACTTTCTTGTGAGCAGCATATAATTCATTGGTTAGAATAATGGTTCACATTTGAAGCAGCTTTGCTTATTGTTTGAATAGATTTAAATCTCACCAAAAGCTAGAGTGAATAGTACCAGTTTTTTGTTTTGGTTTGTAACATCTTACAATTTTTTTTTAAAGATTGGTTTATGTATACAAACAGTGGGGTACAGGCCAGAGGTGAGGGAGGGTGAGAGAATTCACCAGAGACAGAGCAGGGAGCAGAACAGGCAGAAGGACCAAAAGCACTGCTGAGGGGAGCAGTGGGCAAGACAGGAGAGGTCTGCAGCGCCATGTGGGTATCTTCCTGACTGGCTGGGAATAGAACGTTTCTTCCCTTACCAGGTATAGCTAATAAAACTATGTCCAGAAATAGCAAGGTATAATCTAATAACAGACGTATACATAGAAATGAAAGGTGATGAATGTTGTGTTTTTCCTGGTGGCACAGGTGGTTGAGCCCAGCACTGTGAAGCTGTCTGCAACCTCTGCAGTGCAGGTTCGATCCCAGCTGGCTGGCAAGAATCCCACGATTCAGACCTCTCCTGTATAGCCCGCTGCTCCCCACAGTAGTGTATTTCAGCCAGTCTGCCTGTCCTGTTCCCCGCACTGTCTCTGGTGAATCCTGTCACCCTCCCGTGCATCTGTCCTGTAAAAATCTTAAAAAAAAAAAATAATAAAATTAATATTGTTGACACTACTTCACAGTTTCTTTCAAAAATACAGGTTTTCAGATTTTTATAATGGACTTTTGTTTTAGTAATACAGATTCATTTTCCCGGTGTTTTATATAGGACTAGGGATATACTGTACATTTCCTTTTATAGCCAGCTTTTTTCCTTTAAAGTACATCATCTTTTCCAATGTTAACACACACTTGTACAACATGTTTGCTTGTGGAACTGTGATTCCATTGTATGAATGAACTGTCATTTAGCCAGTCTTCTGTTAATGGGTATTTAGGGCTGGACATTAGGTTGTTAACCATTGGTTTACTTGTAAACAAAAATATGTTAAATGCTATAAATGATCTTAAAAAAAAAAAAAACATGTACTTTGCTTGAGTAAAATTCTTGATTCAAATAGTATGCACGTTTTTAAAGTTTTTGATGTGTGTTCTAAATTGTCCTTTAGAATAGTAGTGTTGGGCCTCGCCTGGTAGCGCAGTGGTTGAGCTCTGGGCTGTGAAGCTGCCTGCAGCCTCTGCAGCGCCCGCTCGATTCCCGGCCTCCAGCGAGGGTCCCACATGGCGCAACAGACCTCTCCTGCCGCGTCCGCTGCTCCCCTCAGCAGTGTACTTTGGACAGTCTGTCTGTTCTGTTCCCCGCTCTGGCTCTGGTGAATTCTCTCACCCTCCCACGCTTCTGACTGTACCCAGTGCTTGTATAAATAAATATATAAATCTTAAAAAAAAAAAAAATAGAATAGTAATGTTTGCACAAGCTCCTCTTGTACCATGCCAGCCCTGGGCATTATGCAGTTTTTGCCAGCATTGTTTTTGTAGTCTGATTCAACTGATAATTTTTTGAATACCAAACAATATACAGGAACTGAAAGTAGAGTGATGAACAATACAGCAAAATCCTTGGTATTAAGTAGTTACATTCAAATTCTAATGTTCACTCTTGAGAACAATGCAAATTAGCAAGAAATGGAATTTGAAACTTTCAATTGGTGAATTTAGAGGTTTTTTTTTATTTAATTTAAAAAAAAAAATTTTTTAATAGAGGCATGTTTTATTAGTTTATTTGTTTGTTTTGTTTATACATGCACTGGGTACAGTCAGAAGCGCGGGAGGGTGAGAGAATTCACCAGAGCCAGAGCGGGGAGCAGAGCAGGCAGAAGGACCGAAGTACACTGCTGAGGGGAGCAGCGGGCGGCAGGAGAGGTCTGCGCGCCATGTGGGACCCTCCTCTGGTGGCTGGGGAGCAGCTGGGGATCGAACCGGCGCTGCAGAGGCTGCGGGCAGCGTCGCAACCCAGCGCTCAACCGCTGTGCCTCCGGGGAGGCCCAGAGTTTTTTTTTTAAAGATTTACTTATTTGTACAAGAACGGGTACAGGCAAGATGTGCTGGAGGGTGAGAGGATTCACCAGAGACAGAGAGTGGAGCAGAACAGGCAGGTGACCGAAATACACTGCTGAGGGGAGCAGCAGGCGAGATAGGAGCGATCTGCCACGTCTAGTGGGATTCTCCCCAGCAGGCCAGGAATTGAACCCACACTGCAGAGACTGCGGACAGCTTCACAGTGCAGTGCTCAACTGCCTGCGCCACCAGGGAGGCCCCAATTTAGAGTGTTTTTATATTGTTTTTATTTTTATTCTTGTCTGCCTTCTATTTTATAAAACTTTTATAACTTTCCCTTTGAAATGTTTAATTGTTACTAGGACTTGGGTTTAAACATCTTGCCTTTAGTTTTTATATCTTTCAAAACCTTAAAGCATGTCATAGTATTCTTTACTGTTTTTGTCCTTTTCCATTGCTATATAAAAACTTTGTAACCTTGGTCTCCTAGGTATTGGTGTCAAGGAAGACTGTAATTTTTCTCCCCTGATAGTTATTAATTTACTTTATTGATCACCCCACCCCTTGGATTTAATAATTTCTATAGTTATTTAAACTTATCAGCAATTATCTTGTAGGTGTTAGTGACTGAGTTTTACTCAGTTTTATTTTTCATCAGTTTTCCTCAATAGCAACTTCTGTCATTTCTGATTTGGGCCCCAGTGTCCGCTGCCCACTGAGCTATTTCCCTCTATAGAACTCATTTCAGATTGTGTCTTAGAGAGGAAAAAGATATAGTTGACTCACCTCATCTTGGATTTAGTGGAACCCATGTCTCTCTTAAGAGATGAAATGGCAAGGGGTTAAGACACAACCTATGAAGCAGTTTGCAGCCACTGTGGCACGAGTTTGATCCCCAGCCCGCCAGGGTGCATGGCGCAGCAGACCTCTCCTGACTCGCCCGCTGATCCCCTCAGCAGTGTATTTCCCTCAGTCTGCCTGTTCTGCTCCCCACTCTGGTGAATCCTCTCACCTCCCACACATTTGGCCTGTACTCTAGTTCTTGTATGCATAAATAAATAAATATTTTTTTAAAAAAGAGATGAAATGGCTCCTGTTGTATTCAGTGAGAATCTATAAAGCTGGAAAGAAAAAAACTTTCATTGAGGGAGTAACTAGACGCTTATTTCTATATGTATCACAGGGAAACATTTTTAGTCTTTTGTTATTTGGAGGATGTTTCTGAGGCAGATGAATAGGAAATTTCCTGAAACAGACTTGATATTCTTCCTTGTATGCACAATACTTATTACGAATATTACCTGATTTGCGTGATCACCTTGGATTAAATTCTCTCCTCCCAAGTGTTTTGTTTGTGCTGCAATGTAACCTTTAAGAGAAGCGAGCACTAACTTGGTTTTTCTTATCTTTTTCTTTCTTCATCTCTAATCTTTATCCCTCTTTGACCCTTTCTTACTCATCCCAGTAAACATGAGAAGCCTTAGTTGCATTATCATTCTGCTACTTTTAAATTTTTTTTTAATTTTGCTTTGTTAATTCATCCACTTTGTTTCCTTATATTGCTCACATATGTGAAATCATCCTTATTTGTCTTTATCTTTCTGACTTTGTTTCACACAATCCCCTTGAGTTCCTTACATTTCACTGTAAATTGTAGCATTTCATTTTTCCTTATAGCTACTTGTAGTCCATTGTGTATATATGCCACTTCTTTATATCGTCCTTTATCACTGGTATTTGGGTTGCTTCTATACTTTAGTTATTGTAAATAATGCTACAGTAAACTTTGTGGAACATATAATTGTTCAAGTTGATGATTTCATGTTTTTCAGATAGATAATCCAAAGTGGAATTGCTTGATCACATGATATTTTGATTTTTAGTTTTCTAAGCTACGTATGGACTGCTTTATCCTATCAACAATGAATGAGTATTCCTCTTTCCCACATCCTCTCCAGCACTTCTTTTAGGGTGCCTTCTTGATTATATGCTATTCTCATCAGAGTGAGGTGTTACTGTTGTTTTGATTTGAATTTCCCTCAGTAAAAGTGGTGGTGATGATCATGTTTTTAATTAACTGTTGACTTGCTGTACATCCTCTGTATATCTGCCTACTTTTCTAATGGATTGCTTGTTTGTTTTTTGGTTGTTAAATTGGATGAGTTTTTTGTATGCATTGGCTTGGTTATTAACCCATGTCAGTTATGTGATGTGTGAGTAACTTCTACCATTCAGTAGGATGTCTTTTTAACCTAATATTTTCTTTTCCTTTGTAAAGGTTTTTACTTTGAGGTAGTCCCAAATGTTCAATTTTGCATTTATTTCCCTTGCTGTATTATTTCCCTTGATTCCCCCAAAACATCTCTTATCATTGATGTCATGAAATCTATTAATCAATTTTTTTCTATGTATTTTATTGTTTCAGGTCTTATAGCTAAATCTTTAATCCATTTATGAATTTATTTTTGTGCATGGAGTTAAAGCATGATCCAACTTCATTTTTTTACATACAGTTGTTTTCTCAGTACCATTTGTTAAAGAGACACTTCTCCATTGATCATATTACTTTGGCTCTTTTATCATAAGTTAGGTTTTGGCATATGTATGGGTTAATTTCTGGGCTTTCATTTCTGTTCCATTGCCCATGTGTATTTATATTCTAATACCATATTATTTTAATTATTGTTGCTTTATAATGTAGTTTAAAATCAGTTAACATGATAGCTCCATTTTTCTTGGGTTTTCTTAGAATTGCTTTAGCTATTCAGGGTCTTTTACCATTTCATATAAATCGTAATGTTTTTTGTTCTGTTTCCTTGAAGAATACCATTGGAATTTTAATGACGGTTTCATTAAAAATACATATTTAAACTTAATTTTAATGGAGATTGTATTAAACCTATATATAGTCATTTTGACTATATTTACTCCATGAACATGTAATATCTTTAAGTGTCTTTATGTATTGTTTTATAGTTTTAGTAGTGTCCTATAGTTTTCACTATATAAACCATTTTACTAACTCCTTACTTAATCCCCAGGTATTTAATTGCTTTTTATGCAATTGGGAATTGTTTTCTTCATTTTTTTTCTTGTTCATTATTTATGTATAAAAATGCAACAGATTTTCGGTGTTAAGTTTGTAATCTGCCACTTATTGTTTCTAGTAGCTTTTTAGTGGCATCTTATGACTTTCTATACATATTATCATATTGTCTGCAATAAGTAGTAGTTTCACTTCTTTTCCAGTCTGGATTCCTTTTATTTCCTGTTGTCTGATTGTGCTAGCTAAAATTTTTAATACTATGTTAAACAGAAGTGATGACAGTGGGTATCCTTTTCTTGTTCCTGATCTTAAAAGGAAAGCTTTCAGATTTTCACCACTAAGTATTGGCTGTAGACCAGTGATACATGGATTTTGTTATATATGGACAATTTCTTTCTATTCCCATCATGTTAAGAGTTTTAATCGTGAATGGGTGCTGACTGTTATCAAATGCATTCTCTGCATCTGTTAATATTATCAAATGATTTTTATCATTTGTTGATATGTTTTGTTTTAGTTGTGTTTATCTAACCATCCTTTCAACCTTTGGATAAATCCCAGTAGATCATGATGTATAATTCCTATAATGTATTGTTGAATTTGATTTGCTAGTATCTTGTTGAAGGTTTTCAATATTTTTATTTATTTATTTATTTTTATTTATACAAGCACTGGGTACAGTCAGAAGCGCGGGAGGGTGAGAGAATTCACCAGAGCCAGAGGGGAGAGCAGAGCAGGCAGACTGACGAAGTACACTGCTGAGGGGAGCAGCAGGTGGCAGGAGTGGTCTGTGCGCCATGTGGGACCCTCGCCCAGTGGCCGGGGATCGAACTGGTGCTGCAGAGGTTGCGGGCAGCTTTGCAACCCAGTGCTCAACCACTGTGCCACTGGGGAGGCCCTCAATATTTTTTTTTAAATATATTTATGCATACAAGAACTGGGGTGTGGGCCAGAGATGTGGGGAATGAGAGGGTTCCGCAGAGACAGAGTGGAGAGAACAGGCAGACCTACGGAAATATGCTGCTGAGGGGAGCAGTTGGCGAGACAGAAGAGGTCTGCTGTGCCATGTGGGTTAGCTCCCTATCTGGGGATTGAACTTACCCCGTGGTGGCTGATGAGAACTTGATAGCACTGAGACTAACCCCTGCGCCACCAGGGAGGCCCAGGTT